TTTAAAAACTGTCTAAGGGGGTGTTTATCTGAGTTTATGAAAATTAGTTTATAAGTTAAGATAATTTGAGCTTATAAGCATTTGAAATTTTAAGCAGTTATTGTGTTGGTAGTTTAAGTACTTATAAATGGTAATAAGTAGTGACGGTTTGGTAAAATGTGGCTTATAAGTATATTTTATTATTAAAATAACTAAAAAAGATATTATATTATTTTATCAAATAAAAATTATACGATGAAATTTAAAATTAAATAAGGATAATGTGGTAATATACTTAATCAAACTAGCTTATAAACAAGAGTATTTATAAGCTACAAAAAAAAAAAAAAAAAAAAAAAAAAGGTATCTCCCCAAACTCAAAAAATTATAAACAAAACACGTCGAGGTTATTTAGAACTTATAAATTAATTTGACTCATTTATAAGCTCAGATAAACACTTCTAATACCTCCCTCAAAGAGAGTGATGGTGCACTGTCACTAGATTTAAACTCACCACCTTCAAGTCGATTAAATAGCATCACTTTCGTCGTTTAAGGACCGCCAATCTTGTTCAGGAGAAATGTAATGTAAACAATAAATAGGTTATAGAGGGCCAAATTGTAATTTCACCTTTTAAAGGTTAATAGAATACATTTTCAATCAACCTTAACCTTCCTTTTAACACTCTGAGGAGAGGTAATTATACAAATTTTTAAATGTGAGAAAAAATGAGAGATGATCTTTTGTACTTGTCGCTGTAGGGTGTGAGTGATTGAAACTCAAACCTTAGGGGATGTAAAAGATAATAACCCTCTCAGTTATAGTTTATAGTTTAGAAAAATATCTTCATATATACACGCATACAGATCTGGCAAAGTAAGAAAAGGCGAAAGGAGAAAGAAGAATAAGAAGAAACGAAAGGAAATGAGAGAGAAAAATGGGAGGAGAAAAAAGAAGAAGAAAAATATTTTTAGGGTTTTGTGAAAAGTATTTTGAGAAGTCAAAAATACCCTTCATAGTTTTATTAAATATCAAACCTTGCGGGTGACCCGTAGATCGACCCGTGCCCGTACGGGCGGGTACTAAGTATTACACCTCTTTACCTGTTTCAAAAAGTTTACCCGTTAACCTATACCCGTAATTACCCAGCCCATACCCGCCCGTTTACCAAGTCTATGCATACCACAAGTAGTGGTATCATTTGTGTTGAATGTAATTCATACTTTGCACGGGGTTAACACCGACACATTCGAAATGTGATTAGGTTTATTAGTACTCAAGTATAGTAGTGGAAAACCTAACATGAAAAATAGAGAGAAATAGTGAATTGTTGATACTTTTTATTATTGTATTCTATAGATTTCTGAAACTCGATAAAACTACTTGATTTGAATATTGGACGTAGTTCTTTCATTGGGAATGAACTAGGGTAAATCAATTATCTATTGTTACTTTTCTACTTTCATATTTGTGCGTTTTGAGTGTCGTTTCAACAATTTGGAGGGTAATTTCTTTCTTTCAAGGAAACGCACATATATTGTTTTTTAATAAAAAGTGAAAAAAAAATCAAAACTGGTGTGGTGAAATCTATAGTGGTTCAACACGGGCTATATTTTGAGTCAATCAAAGTGTTGTCATATTGATTTGTTGTTGTTGTTGTTGCAGGCTTGCAGCTATATTCTCTGATATGCCCACTTCATTGCTTTCCCAAATAGAAAGTCTTGAAGTAAACCATGTGGTATGAAGAGGTTGGACAGGCATGAAAGGAAAGGAAAGGAATATGTATCAATCATTTGATGTGCTAGTTTCAAATCGCATCTTAGCTGTTCTTCAAAAGTAGTCTTCCAAATTATAATTACTCTTTGTCCACCTTCAAACCTAAGCTTGCAAAATTCAATATCATCCGCCAACCTTCAATTTAACGTATGAAAATCCCTAATACCAAAACCATGGATTCGGATGCAATGTGGGGCAGCAGAATATCAAATTATAAAGTGGTAATAATAAGGAATACGATTATTCATATCTACCTACTTCCACCTCAACTAATCCTCAAGAAAAGCTAATCCACAAAAACTGTAGCCTCTAAATAAATCATGGACAAAGATACTAACTCTGCACTCAGTGGAAAATCAAACATAAGACTGTCGGTTCACTCTTACCGCTAGGCTACCCACGGGTGAGTTAATTAATCATTTTACAACGTATATCTTATGTAAGGATAAAGATTGATTCACAACTGATTTGACCAATTTTCTCTTACAACTCTGGTGTGATAACTTGCAATTCAGCAGGCATGACCTATAGCGAGTATACATGACTCATTTGCGAGTTAACCAATTGTAAACTATAACGTTAGGATTATGAGAGAAAGTTTGTAAGATTGGATGTAAGTGTTGTATTATACCTTTAAGTAATTCTGACTTATATTTATTACAATAATGCTACAGACACTGGGACTGTGCACCGAATTTTTAAATCGAATTACGTGTCATCACACTCAGACCAGCCACATATCACTTTAACAAATATTTTGTGAGTGAACGACCGTTCATTAACTATGGACGACCGTTCACTGTTATTGGACGGACGTCCATCAAAGGTGGACGCCCGTCTATGCGAAATGAACAATGGACTCCTGTCCATATTATATGGACGGGAGTCCATTTGCTATGGACGGGTGTCCACCTATAATGGACACCCATCCATAGTTTAAATTTAAAAAATTTGAAAACAAAAATCATGGACTCCCATCCATATTCAATGGACGGGGGTCCATACAAATGGACAGGTGAACACCTTTAATGGACGCCCGTCCAAACTATAAATTAAAAAAAAATTAATGGACGCCCATTTAAATGTTATGGACGGACGTCCACCATTATTGGACGCCCGTTAAAATTATACTCAGTTAATGGACGCCCGTTCAAATTTTTTGAACGAGTGTCCCTTAATAATGGACGGTAGTCCACCTTGAGTGGACGCCCGTCCAAACTTTTAATTTTATTCTCCTTGACTGTGATGGTAACAACTGCACGACACTTTTGCTATTTTTGCTGTTCTTCTTAATTAATTTCCCATTCTTCTAGAATTCCTCGTCTTTTACCTTCATTCGACTCATCTATTTCTTGAGGGATATGTGCTGCTTTCTCCCACTCTTCATCTGTGTTTGTTGTGGAGTGTGAAGCATCACGGGGATTGTTGTTAGGGGCATGAACCCCTGCAGTAGCTCTAACTTGCTCAAAAAAGAGAACTTGCACCACAACTCGGAGTGGCAGTCGTTCATTCAACGCCGCGTGCATAGATGCATCTATTGTTAGTTTTCTGACATCCATCAGCCCACATATCTTCCTTCTTTCAGCCTTTGCCAAGCCTGCGTGCTCCTGATGATATATTAATAAGAGTAATACTAGTCTTACAAAGAGGCATACAAAGAGACAAATCCAACCCTTAAAAGAAGGGAAAGAGAGAGAGAGAGAGAGGCAATCATGAATTTTAAGGGCTGTATTTGTCTCTTTGTATCCCTCTTTGTAAGGCTAGTATTACTCTATTAATAAACCAGTACTTCATTATCAGTAATGTTCTTTGTTTGTTACATTATCGTTCACAAGAGTAAAAGGTCATAAGAAATTAAAAGAAAGATGTATTCTCTTCTGTTTAGAATCATGTATGTATGAGTTTTAACAAAAACAACTGACATACACAAAATAAGTGCTTAGGTACAAAAGCTTTACCTTTAAGTACCCGTCAATGGCTTTGTACGGTCATCCATTAATTTTGTTTAGACATTTTTTTTTTAAAATTTAAAGTTTGAACAGGTGTCCATTAAATGTGGACGCCCGTCTATAGTAAATGGACAAGAGTCCATCGTTTCTTTCGCATGAACGGACGTTTGCATATAATAGACTCCCGTCCAATAACAGTGGATGGCTGTCCATAGTTAATGAACGGCTATTCACTTGTAAAATATTTGTTAATGGGATATTTAAATGATGTGACACATAATTTGATGTAAAAATTTAGTGTACGGTCCAATGTCCATAGCATTATTGTATTTATTAACTCATCTTGATAAATTATTTCATCATTGCTCCGAGAGACGACTAATTTAATAAGTGTGGAAGCTTCTTATATTTGGTTAGAAAGGTTATCCTACAGAGTGTGAAGACTGCAAGTAAAAAGCAATAAATTCTCATAAAATTTCAACTTTACAATGAGTGGGGATCATGTTACCAATACCTCAAGCTGTGTGGCCACCATTACAGTTGCAGGATACCCTTCTGCAACGACCATCAATTTTGGGACAACTCAATGTCGATCTTAGAAAATAGCCCATATATATTGGCACTTGTTTTTTCTATATTTTCATTATTATTTATGTAGTCCAATTGAGATTAATTGTATCTCAAAATTCTGGCACAGCTCTTCTTCATCAAAGTAAAGGGCAGGTTTGAGGACAGTAAGACTGGGGTTGTCAGTTATCACCACGCAGATTTGATCACAACCGTCAGTTGGATGTATTTAAACGGTCAAGCAACCTCTCGTCCGTTGATGGGTCCCATCATCGTGAAAAAGATGGGCCCAAGCAAACCAAACGCGGACAGCGTAAAGAATGAACAATCATCACATCACATCACCTAATACCCATAATTAAAACAATACAACAAATCTTTGTCCCCTCGTCGTCTTCTTCTTCTCGTTTGAATTAGACGCGATCAAATATCAATTACAGCTCCCCGTACGGTGTAATCAAGCCGCAAAGTTCCATTAAGGTTTTATTTTATTTTATTTTTATTAAGCTGCTTTCAACTAGGTTTAGTGATTAGTTACTTAAACTTTGTATTAAACCTGATTAAAGTAGTAAATTGAAATTAACAGAGCAGGTGCTGATCTGAGGATCGGGGTCAGTTAAGCTCCAATTTGGTAGATTTTATATCTCCTTTTGTTAATAGGATTTGGTCTGATTTTTGCAGTTTTGTTGATATAAAGGGGGTAAATTTAGCGGTTGAACTGAAGCAAAATGGCGAGGATAAAACCTCAGGCTTTACTAGTTCAAAGTAAGAGGAAAAAGGGGCCGACTCGAATCAGTATCACTACGATTGTCTTCTGCAACTTGATTGTGGTGTTAGTTGTGTTGTGCTTTGTTGGTGCATATAGACATTGGTCACACAGGTTTGTTTTGACAATATAAAGATCTTATTGAAGACGATTTTGTTTGCTAGAATATAAGATCCCGTGAATTTTCTTGTAGGCCAGACCAACTGAAGGGGACTGGATCTTCGAATTTTGAGGTACTTAAGTAATTGGAGTTCAGATAAGATGTGTGCATCTATGAATCAATTGTTTCTGTATTTAGTATTAATTATAAGCGACTGTGTAATTCGCTAAACTTATTTTCATTTCTGTGGTGTAGGACACTGATGCCGCTGCGGTTTCAAAGAAGTTTGATCTTCCTGGCCATGCTGTAAGTTCTGTTAAATCAAATTTTTTTTTGCGAAGTTGGTTGCAATTGAGTTTTTTGACCAGAAAATTCGGTTATCTAGTTCATTATTAGGAGTGAAGATGCTGATAAGTGGAATATTTGTTGTGGATTTGGTTACTTTTTGCATGAATAGTCTTGTTATATCATGAATCACTTCATTTTGTACATAACAACTTTTTAAATGCCTAACTCTGTTATGGAACAGTTTCTTATTTTGAAGTTAACTTCACTTTTGACAATGGCATGTTGATCATTGACCTTTTGGGATTTGGATAATAATTTTTGCAGTAATGCAAAAAGTTTATGATGTGATTAATCTAATATTTTCTCTTGAAGATATACTAGGCTTCTTATTTATTCTTACATGCCGCATGCCATTGACTGCCATGTTTACTTTTAGATGTTATGCATTCACACACTATTTCACATGCTCTCCTCATTGCCTTTTGCCGATGGACTTTGTTATCTTTTGCCCTTAATTCTGAACTTTTTCCCTTGTAGATTCTAAATACATCTAAAGGTCATATAATTGTGGAGCTTTTCAAAGAAGGTTCGCCAGAAATTGTGGATAAATTTATTGACCTCTGGTAAGCATCCAAACATTTTTGTTATTGGCCAGCTATGTCCATTGAAATTAACTGGATATAACATAATTCATCCATCTATTGTTATTAAATAAGCCAGAACATTATTAGGTTGCTGGATGATGAAAAAATTCTGTGTATGGTGCATACTTTCTGTGGATTTTGTTTGAACTTAAATGAATGTTTGAAAGTTGTAAGAATTAGTATATTCTAACCATGAATTGGAGTGCATCTCTTTTGTAGTTTTGTTAGTGTTCTTTTTCTCCATATGGAAAGTTAGAAAAGATTTGTCTTTTTCTTTGTGCTGGGAACTGGTAATAAATGGGGTTTTCTTCTTGTATTTGCTTGTTCTTCATTTGGGTCCAAATGATTCATAAATGTAGCAGTGTCGTTGTCTTTAGCTAAATATTGCCTTCTCTTTATGGCTGTTGCTGGTGACCCCTTCTAAACTATGAGATTTATTCCACCCTGATCGACATGCCAATAAAGGGCATTTTCTGTATTTTCTAAATACTAATGTGGCAGAAACTATGTGCCTAGTGCATGCTACATGTTCTGTTATACTCTGTGTACCACTGTACCTAAAAATTATTGGTTTTCCAGTCAAAAGGAGCACTTCAAAGGGATGCCTTTTCATCATGTGATAAAAAACTATGTGATTCAAGCTGGGCATTCCCAACAGCTTGCAGCGGCTGAGGATTGGACTTCAAGAGGGAAGCTTCGTGGTCAACTTGCTACAAGGTTTTCATTCTAATCATTTTTCCATAGTATTTATTAGTACTCGGTTTTTCATTAACTGATGAATTGATTCTTCTGAAAAACAGTCCAAAGCATGAGGCATTTATGATTGGAACTTCAAAAACTAAAGATAGTAAAGAATTTGAGCTATATATTACTACTGCACCAATACCAGATTTAAATGATAAGCTTATTGTGTTCGGAAGAGTCATTAAGGGTGAGGATGTGGTGCAGGTAATAAACATAATTTTATGTTTGACGAGTAATTTTGATTGATATTTCACTTGACTAGATTAAAGCTAACATGGAGCGTTTGCCAATAATCACAATGTACTATTCAGGAAATTGAAGAGGTGGATACAGATGAACACTATCAGCCCAAGTCACGCGTAGGGATCATCAATGTGACACTAATAACATGAGATTTGAGGATGTTTTAGCGAGCTAGTGTAAAGTTTTCTAACTTGCGAGACGATTGTCACCGAGTTTGTTGTAATATTACATTTTTCTTTCAAATTTTGTTTTCTTCTGCCCCTAGAATACAGGATTTTTTTTATTTTGCGGGGTCAGAGTGGCTTGGACTTGGAGGGGTTGCAGGAATGCTCTAAGGGTGCATTTAATTCAGGAATCTTGTATTACTAAGAATGTTATATTAATGGAAATATAAATTACCTTGAAGATTACTGGGAATGTTTAAAGAAATGTGTTATATTGGTGGGTATTTATTATATTAATATGTTTGGTTATAAAGAATAAATTTGTAGGTATTTTATATAAATTATTAAATTGTCATTCTTTTTAAATATTTAGCAAAAATGCTCCAACAACCCAAAAAGTTTAAAACTTTACAAAAACACCCCAGCCACCTTCCCGGTCGGCAATCACCTTGTCGTATTTGGTTGGTTGTGTGCCATTAAGGACGTTTCGGGGCCATAGATATGTGGTCCATGGTTGGAAACAGCAAGATTTGGCCTTCTCACGGCCATTGTATTAAAACCCCGAACCTAAGGGCAACCTGTTTCGCTACCTGGGTCACTGGTCAACCGGGTGGACCGATGACATCAGCGACAATTTTATTTTTAAAAAATTATATATTAATCGTTTAAATTTTAATATATTATAAAAATTACCCTAAAAAGTTCAAATTAGTCCCTAAAATTTTTATTTATTTCAAAAATACCCTTAAAAAATTACCACTTAATCCCTGAACTTTTGACATATCTCCAAAACACCCTTATAAAATTACAAATTAACCTTTATAGTTTTGAAATATTACAAAAATTCTCCTAAGACCTGAACCGGATCGGAGAAGCTATCGAGTCCTGGTCGGACCGGTCAGACCTGTCGGTCCGATCCGATTTTTAAAATAGAGTTCACGGTCATAGATCTGGCCATGAAAAGGCAACCGTTTCACAACCAAATACGGTTGGAAATGGCCTTATTGGCTAGATTCGGCCACCTGTGTGCCGTTTCGATGATTGCCGGTGACGGCGAGTGGTGGTGGTCGGTAATCCTCTTGGGTGGTTATGGTGGTGGCTGGGGTCTTGGGTAATTTGGTTGACGTATAAGGCTAATTTTGTCTTAAAAATCTTAAGTATAAGGTTAAAATTGTCCATAAATTATTGTTAATTGTTTAGATAATAAGGATATTATTGTCTTAAAATTGTATTAATAAAAGATAAAATTATAGCAAAAATAAGATTACCAAGTAATATTAAAATATCTAAGAAAATTGAGATAATCAGATTACCTTTTATATAACCAACAGTAATTATTATTGGTTTTGGAAGATTATCGAAATCTTATATTATTTGACAATTAAATGTGGTAATCAAGTAATATAACATTTGACAATCAAATGTAGTAATCAAATGTTGTAAATTGTTTAGATAACAAGGGTATTATTGTCCTAAAATTTTATTAATAAAAAATAAAATTGTAGCAAAAATAAGATTATCAAGTAATCTTAAAATATCTAAGAAAATTGAGATCATCAGATTACCTTCTATATAACCAACAGTAATTACTATTTGTTTTGGAAGATTATCGAAACATTATATTATTTGACAATCAAATGTGGTAATCAAGTAATATAAGATGATATTACTTCAGTAATAAGAGATTATCCTCAACCAAGCATATCCTAAAGATTTTGTACTTAGAGCAGACGTAAATACATAATTTATGCATTTTTGTTAATCCATACTTGAATCTTTTGTAGTTATCTCCCTATCTTCGTTTGTGTTAATTGATAGTGTTTTAACTTTTAAGATCCAACCCAGGGTGAAACTTGGCAAAGTGGTTGGGTCCCGGAGTTGAACAGTTGAATTGGTTTGATTGGCGGGTCAAATCGATGATGTCACCATGTAAAAAGGTTTGAATCTAGAAAAACACCCTTGAAATTACACATAAATCCTTACAGGTTTGAAATCCTATAAAAACACCTCAAATTACATCATCGACGTCGACAACCTAGGCCTAATAGGGCATGTTACCGATGTTGACAACACATCCCATCACCACGAAAACTCTTCCCTCAGCCTCCATACCAAAACCCATCTCACCCTACCCCCGTTCACTTCACCAATCACCGACAACAACCTGCTATTTTCGGGAATAAATTTTTGCGATTTTCGATTGTTTCACTTGCTGGAAATCACATTCGTCGCCACCTTTCGACTTACCGACCCTTCCTCTTCAAAAGCCCCAACATTCTAGTTACCAATCATTCATCGATCATCATCCTAATCTCTAGGGTTTGCCATGAATAGTCAAATTTGAAAAACCCGCTCTATGAAGGCCCTGAGTCTCGATTCAGTTGGTCAGCCCAAGCCGAGTTTTAAAACACAGGTAATTGATGTGTTTGCGGCTTCGCGCCAAACTCAAAGCAATGATTTGGTGGGGAAGCCAGCAAGATGCATGACTTTACAATTATTATTATTTCAGTTTTCCATATTTTTTTCTTCCCATGTTTCTTTAATCTTATATTTGTTACAGAAGATTGACGATGGTGGGAAAATTTTCATTTATTTTGAATCAATATACAGGTTTGTGGTACTGCTCGAAGCTTTTTGAAATAGCAAATATAGGTTTTTTTGGTCAATTATAATGCTCAAAATCCCTTATTATTAGTTAAATTAAGGAAAATACTACACTTATTAATTATGCACACCGACTCCTTATCCCGATTAATATGGAGTGCAACGTGAGGAGTCTCATGCCGATCACATCGCACTCCACATCAATCAGGATGGGAAGTCGCTTTGTGAAGTGTAATCTTGCTCTTAGATCAAATAATATACAAAAGCCTTTTCAAGTGAGTTCTGATTGCCGATTTATCAGTTTCAGATTAAATAAGCGATATACGGGCGGAAAATGAAAATCAATCAGAAATTAAAATATAAAAAGAATCAAAACTCGGTTATGATTTGGGTTTAAATAGAGCCCGGCCCGGCTCATCCCAGTTTTAAAACCCCGCGCCAATATTTCCCTCCCAAATATAAAACGCCGCCAGTTGGTGCAAATCGTGTCTAACAAGGGTTTGAGATCCCGCAAGTCAGAACACGGTGATTCAACCAATGAGTCACGAAAGCGAAGACAAGCTCATGGAAACAGAAGAAGAAGATCCGTTTCTCTCATTGATCGAGTACGCAAGGTCGGCGCTATGGCCTGAAGAAGAAGAAGCAGGTGGTTACGATCCGAATAACATTGGATCGGAAACCGGCGGGGCCGGGTGGAGCTGGATCGCGTCTCGCATTCTCAAGACCTGTATTGCTTATTCGAGCGGCGTCACCGTTGCAATTCTTCTGTCCTATCTTTCTCAGGTTAAATGTGTGTGTATATATATATATTTAAAAATTTTATAATAATGCAACAATAAACAAAAATGATAAGTTTTGTTATTATTAGGAGTTAATCTGTGATTAATTTTGCCTTTAAAGGCGTGGAATGAGCAACACAGGGCTGGTGTTCCGAAGAAGAGACCAGAGATTATAAATCAGCTGAAAAAGAAGCATCGGAGGACTAAGCTTTCGAACACTGTCACGATTGATTCTATCCATGAGAAGAAATTTTTGTCATTAAATAGCGTTTTGGAGGCTGTTATTGTTGATGTTTTTGTTCTTCCAGGTACTTGTTTTATATTATTTCATTTAAATTATAATTGTATATGCTAAATATATTGCGATATTTTGAATTTTAGAAATTTGATTGTCTATTTAAATGAACCTAATCATATTTGGTTTTGAAATCAATGACAATTTATGGAATATTATGGTGATTATTAAAAGGTTAAGTGATGTTTCTGGAATCTATTTGTAGTTGAACCAAATTTTAGAGGAGGTCAATGAATTTCTTTTTTGTTCTTTCTTTCTGAAATTAATGGAGGAAATGCTATTATCTTATCATTAACACATCTGTTGTTTCAGGTACGAACATTTACATGCTTACTTTAGGGGATTTTTGGAGCTCCAATACTATTGATCTTTATCTCCATCGCAGGTTAGCAGTTGTGTGTTTTTTTTCAACTGCAGTCTGGCGTAGTTAGAGTTTCTAAAACTGTTCTAATGAAGAGTGGAATCTGAATGACCATTCATTCTGCTGTAAGATTCACGGTTAATGGAACCATGAAATTATAATTATGATGAACTTTTGCTTTACAACCGGAGCTTTTTTCTGCTGTTTTGAGTACACTTGCTATTATCACTTACACGTGGGGGCCTAAAGTTAAAATCAAGAAGCAATAAATCTCACTCTTCACCCTCTGTGGTATATGAGTTTGGTTCTTTTGAGTATGTTGAGTGTCTCTGTGCCAATGAGCTGGCATGCGTGAGTTTGCATGGTGGTATTAGGTTTATTAAATCTTGTTTACTGTAGGTACTATGAGTTGGTGGATCCACACAATGGGACTTTGAAGAAAGGAAGGGAAGTTTTCCTCACAGGATGCTATCTTCGAACTGCTAGAGCAGGATCTGGTAGTCCACGACTTCTTCCTACCGAATATCTTGTAACATTGTTAGATGAGGTAACTCCATAAGCCTTTTTTTAAGCAAGGCTAAGCTTATGGACTAATGTTATTGCTTCCTTTTGGCATTTATGTTAATATGTGATGTTTCATTTCCTATATTGCAGGATCAGGATGATGATGCAATTTTGCTAGGAGCTAAGTTTTGTTGTGATTCTTTCTCTTCCATTTCTCTTGATGCGGTCAATAATGGGGCTTCTTATTCATTGTATGCAAGGTAAGTTCTATGCACAGAAATCATATATTTTGCTAAATTACTCTCACAAAATTAGGTTTCCGTTTCACTCTTCTTCACTTGCTTTATTTCATGTACCATTTTATATTTTTCCTTTATCGTAAAACAGCCTCTAAAAAATGAAAATTGAGCAAATATGGTACAAAAAAGAAACACAAGTTCATTACTGTTTGCTATATGAGAGTTTTAAGGCAGTTATCAATTCAGTTTCCAAAGATAAAATTAAGGTAATGTATGGCATGGTTATGGTTAGATCCTCCATTCAGTTACACTAGACATTAGCAAATGTAACACACTTTAAATTTTTTTAATAGAAACTGATGTGGTATCAAAAAAAATAGATAAGTGGAAACTAAAAATGAATTTAAAAATTTGATACAAAAATCTTATAAAAATGTCATATTAGTTTAAATGTTAGAGTTTTTATAAGCAGCAAGTGTAACTATTCTTACACGAGATGATATGAATTTGTTTAAAAAATAAAGTTTGTAACTAGGTATAAACTTATTATTGAGATAAAGTTTATAACTATTTAGTCATAATAACGGAGGTAAGTAGTCTTTGTTTAGAAAGTTTATACTATTCTTTGTTCCTATTTATGTGTAGGATTGAATCCATTGGATTACTGGAAATTCAGGGAGCATTTGGCAGTTTACAGGGGAAGCAAATTACACTTGTTGATACTGATGGTGTCCGGCTAAAGTTTCTTTTGTGGGGCGAGCAGGTTCTCCTAGCCAATCTTTTCAGGTAAAATCTTGCACCAGATGCATCTTCAATTCTTCATATTATTTTCCATCAACTCTAATTTATGTCTGCACAATTTCTTGTAGTGTTGGAAGTATGCTTGCATTGGATAGACCATATGTTGCAAGTTCTGAAGAGAGTGCTTTAGAAACAGGCGACAAGTTTTGCCTTGAATATGGTAGTGAAACACAATTGTATATAGTGCCTTTCATCCAACATGAGGAACAAGTACGTAGAGATTGTTGTCCAAAAGAAAGTGTTATCATTTGAAAATGGAGCTAACCTCTGTACTCCTCAGGTATGTGTGGCATTGACACAAAATAGACACCAAGGTTCAAGGCTGCTAACTGCAGTGGATCCTAGTCAAAGTCCCAAAGTTTCTCAGGTGACCTTGCCTTGTGATTCTCAGGGGTCCATTGACTTCAGTAACTACCCTTTTCGGGTGAGTATATCATCTCTAGTACTTGTTTTATAGCATCTATTTCAAATTTTCAATCAGTTTGTAGTGGAAGTGCTGTTGAAGTGTTCCCTAAAAGTTTAGTTTAATGTGCTATCAAGCTTCAAATAATTTTCTAGTTAAGGATAGAATTCTAGGCCCTGTAATTGCTCTTGCACATAAATTTTCTGATCTCATTATACATGACATGTGGGTATATCTAGATTTAATTGAATCATTCTGATTTGTCACTTTTGCAGTTTTTGATAAGCGACCTTCGTGACAGGATGACTAGCATCAGCCTCTATGGTGTTGTAACAGATATTTCTCGCAAACAAAATACTGCAGAACTTGTCTTCTCTTTGAAAATTGAGGATATAACAGGAGCTGTCTGTGCAAAGCTTCATTTTGCTGAGTTTTGGTACTAAAAAGAGTTTAATCAGTTTTATTAAAACTAACACACATTACTCTCATAACTTATGGATTTTACCTTCTCCATTACTTTCTTAGATGCTTTTGTTTCTCAGGTCATTGGGAAGAATAGGCCTTGGTCACGTGGTGTATATATCCGGCTTGTCATGCTCCAAGACGAAACAAAACTGGTACCCATACTTGACAAGTTTTTGTCTCCTCATTGATGAATATTTTTTTCTGAATCAGTTATAATTAGTTCTGAAATTTCAAATCGGGATACGTAGTCATAATTGAACCATTCTGAGTCGATATCCTCTAATATTTGGCCCTTTTTTATGCTTCAAAGTGTTTCATTATTACAAAACTCATTATGTAATTGTTTTAATTTGTTGGACAGTATCGAAGTACAGTGGTTTGAGAAGGATGATGGAGCTTCTGTCATCAATATTAGTTGCTTGCCGGCATTGTTAAACTCATCTTGTCTTCATAAGTTGTCGTGCCTTTCTAACCTATCCAACTCAAATAGCTATATGCATGTATGGTTTTCCTATAAATTTCTGGCTTTTGTTAGCTATGCATTATTGATATACTCATCCATAAAACTGATGTTTCATTAGATCAAATTCGAGCAGATTACTTTTTAAATTAATCTATTTTCAAATCTCAATTCATGTTTACTGATTTTTTTTTTTTTTTCTGAACACATTTCCAGATATGTCGAATTTGGCTAAACCAAATCGATCACTGTTACGTTAATACAAGATTTTCACATGCCCTTTGCGGTCATTTTGTCAACGAAAAGCCTAATGGGGCTTTAGAATGCAGTTTCTGTCACTGTAACTGTAATGCTGAAATTGTTCGCACTTTCCACCTGAAAATCACTCTTGCTGATGAGCGTTCTAAAGTTTCTGCATGGTGTACGGGTCAAACTGCGACAGAGTTACTTCAAATTTCTCCTGATGAATTCTATGAGTTGCCTGAGGTAATGCCCGCTCTCACTGCTTTTACTAGGTCCATTGCATTATATGATTTAACTGGTAAACTAATTCAGATGATGAAAACCTGGGCTTTTAACGAAGGAATAGATAGCATTTCGAACAAGATATGTTCGATTATATAATGAACTCTTATCCATGGATTATAATTGTTAGATTTTAAATAGTAATATGGTGCAAGATTTATCTATAAATATAAAAAAAATTATATTACATAGTCCTATTTTTATTGGTGGGTAGAGAAATATTCTCTCTTGAAAAATCTTGCATTCTATGGCTCTTCAATTTTAAAAAGGACAAGAATGCCTTCATATAATATGTACAAAAGTTAAAGACATATTTATCTAGAGTAATACTGTACTTTTATACAAAGTGATGTGTTAAAATATAATTAGATAAATTAATATAAAAATTATATTAGATCATCTAATCATATTTTAACTTGTTACTTTGTACGAAAGATTTTGTATAATCTTTATAAATATAATATTACTCATTTATTTATATATTCACATTCTCTTTAACACTCAAACAAAAAAGCAAATCATTCATTCCACAAACTCAATTTTCAAGGAGATATTTTGATTTGTATTAGATTCGTGATTAGCCATAAAAGAGGTACGTTATTTAAATTGTTTAAAAATGTCCATTTTTCATGAATTTTAATAACTAGGTATGGAACATATATTTAAATCTTGTATTTGAGTCTAAAATACAAGGTTTAACACAGGACTCATATCTAGTTTGTTGAAATTCATGAAAAATGTATTCTTTTTCAAATAATTAAAAGAACCTATCTCTTAAATGGTTTATCACAAATCTGAAGCTAATTAAAATGATGATTTGGAAGGTGAGTCTGTGAAGAGAATAATTTGCTTTGTTGTTTGAGTGTTGGGAGGTTAGATGTGTTTAGTTTACATGTGCAAGATGTTTTGACACTTTGGAGATGTGGAGGTTATAGATTACAAAACTTTTCAAAAAGGATTAGCTTTCAATTAACTAATGAAATGAAGGCTACTAAAATTTAACAATTATTTAACATATAATAAAAATTAGAGGTATTCTATATAGAAAACTGTCACTTAACACATAACAAGTAATCTAATTACATTATAACCTATTGGGAGTCCGGCTAATATTAATTTCTTAATTTAGAAACATTCCTTTGCTTATGATAGGGGGATATTTCCTAGTTTATTATTTACAAATTTTGATGTTGTATTCAGGAGGAACAGGCTATGTACCCTTCGTCACTGGAAAACGAAAGGTTCATGGTTGCATTAGTAAATGGCAAGAGGCAGATTGAAGGTCTAACACTACAGACTCATGATGCATATTCATGGGAGATCACTCGTGCATTGAAATGCGAATAAGGTTAATCCTGTAATGCTGCTTGCCCATGTTTTAACTTATCGTAAAAGAAAAAAATTGCACGAAGAGGTGAAATAAGGTGTCGTGCAATACTCTTACGAGAATTTTCTGGAAGGCAATATGCAAAGATGGCAAGTTACATGTAGAACAAATGCAATGTATGCCCTCTTATCAACTTCAGAAATCAAAAAGGAAAAAATAAACGAACCCGAAAATCATTGGTCACTCTTCCCGAGTGTGATTTGAGACAGTAAGCGGCTTTAATTTACCAATAATATGAAAAATTTAACAAAAATTTCTATTAAAAGTGAGATAATAAGAAATGAGTAGAAAAATGAAATAAAAAATCAAATTCATTAAATTCACTTTTTCATTTATTTTTTGTTATATCAATTTGTATGGAAATTATAAATTTTTTTTGTAAACGTAGTATTACTTTTAATTTATAGTTTCTGATGAAAGATAACAAAACTCAGGGCGATGGAAGCTCTATTAAGTACAACATTTGTATTAAACTGAATTAAAATGTCTTCTACTATGAAAACTGACAAGTGGAAGTTCTAGTTTCGAAACAGCTGAAAGCAAAACCTGAATTCTTAAATTGCAGGTTGTCTTCCAAAAAGTGCAGCTCAACGTACGCTGATGATTGCTGGACTAAAATGTAATGGTACATTTGATCCTTGTAATGAAAAAGAATAATTATTACTCCATAAATGCCTGTTTAAGAAAGCTCCCTCCAAATAATATTGAAAAATGTTATCTTTATAAAGACTTATATAAAAAGGGTTACAAAGTAACATTATCTAAAAGAAAAAAATAAAGAAAAAATAGAAAAAGAGAGAGAAAGAGAGAAATCATGAAAATCAAGAGTGAGGATTGTCTTTGTGTGTCCTATTTATATGTGTCTTTGTAAAATTAGCATTACTCGATAATATTTACTGCAATTATTCAAAGTTAAGGGAGAACTACATTGGCCGTCTTTTCAATTAACCTCAGGTATGGATTATGTGTAGCAAAAATCAAAATGATAAGTGACCAAGACAGTTAAACCATCCAAGTATAAAATTTCAGCTATTCTCATTTCATCAAAATTAAGCTTAGCAATTTATGGATGAGTTTAAGCATAAAAAAGAGAGGGCATTTCAAAGTCAGGAAGCTTAATTTATCTGTGTCCAGTAGCAGCTAAAGCAAAGCAAGTAAAAAGAAGAAGGGGTGGAATTAGCTTGTTGAACATGGGCGAGAAAAATAAAATGACAAACACAAAGATCAATTCCTTGCAAACAAGTTAGTGAAACTCACGAGCATGTTCCCATGTCAACTCAATCATTGTTTCTTTTACTGTTGGCTGGGGTATTTTGCTCTGTAAGCATCTTCAACACATTGACCAATGCTCGCAACCGATCCCATATGTTCAAGCCATAAAGTGCTTCTACAAGTGATTCCTGAAAATCGAAGCCATTCTCTGCAGTAGGATACTACAATTGGAGAGCAAAAACAGAAGTTTAGATTAATAAAAGCATGATTAGAAAGTTTATGTAGTAAAAGCTTTACAAGCTGACCTGAATGGGCTTTGGAATCTTAGTTTTGATGTATGGCCACCACCTATCCTCGACAACTGCTTTGACAAGACAGCAGGCCCGTAATCCCTCTATACCAGCAAATCGTCCAAATCCACTATCTTTCACACCACCAAATGGTAGGGACTGGAAAAAGGTAACTTTAGTTTAGTAATCTACTAGTCAACTTTTTGTAATTTCGTTTAAATATCACATTAATACTAAATTTATAGTTTCTTATAGAAAAAAAAAAAAAAAAATACATGCACAGAAACCTGTGAAGGCAGAAAACAATTTATGGCTTTTGTACAGACCGACCATAAGCAAATAAAGTAATAACTATGATCAGATCAACAAATTCAAATCCTAAAAGAACTTAAGTGAACAATGCTCGTAAGAGTTTTCTCATTTAAGGCTTCATTCATTAGGATTGCATCCTTTCCAATGCATTTTATCTATTTTCCTGATCATAGATTTAATTTTGACATATAGTTTAGCTCAGTCACAAAGTAAAGAGAGCCTGCATTCATACGTTCTCTTTTAAAACAAGAACTTCTATCAACTGAGATTAAGCTACTCAAAATAAAGAGAGCATTTAATTACCTGACACATATAAGTTGCTGCAAAATCATTAATGGCAGCAAACCCGCAATGTATCTGGGAAGCTATCTCTTTGGCACGGCGCTGATTGCCAGAGAAAACAGCACAGCCAAGCCCAAATCTTGAATCATTTGCGAGTTCAACAGCCTCTTCATCTGTGCTAAATTTCATTATTGGCATTATTGGTCCAAAAGTCTGCACAATACACAAATATCACATAAACTAAAATCACATCTTTATGATAACCTTCAAAAAAAATCCTCTATATGTGAAATGCTATACACAATTTTCAAATTAAACTACTAAGAAAATTCAAGCTGAGTGTTGAGTAAAACATGACAGAATGACATTTGCTACCTCTTCTTGCATTAACCTCATTGTGTGGTTAACGTTCACAATCACAGTAGGAGGGAAATACTGATCAACTGCATCATCACCTAAATTGCCAAAACTTCCACGAGCAGCAATATCTGCCCCTTTCTCTATAGCATCATCCACAAGGGCTTGAAGCTTATCAGAATGCTCTAGCAAGCATATGGCTCCCATATCATACTTTCCACCTCTTGGTGGACCCTGAAAAAGATTATATAATAATAAAACTCTAGTCCTATAGGAAATGGATTTTCTGGGCATACAACTGGTACATATTGAAATTCAATTTCCACATAAAAAATCTATAGAGAATATGTTGCAGCCACAGGCAAAAGTAACTCCACATGAAATGTATAAGAGGTGATGCACTTACTGCTAACACAGACTTCACTATTTTTGTTACTTGACTGAGAAATGAAGGATAAATGTTCTTATGGACATAAAATCTTTCTGCCCCAGCACAATTCTGCCCACTAGATTGAAGAGCAGCCCTGACAGCGATTTGAGCAACCTAAATCAATTAAAGCAGTAAGGATCGGAGGAATTAGAAATAAAAGTTAAATTGTCAATCACAAATTTAAGTCACTATCTCAACAGTAGTTGAAAACATCCAAGTCAACAAGACATCAAGAAAGAGTAGAAAGTCTTCATACATGAGCCACGTCTACATCATCACACACAATAAAAGGATCTTTTCCACCAAGCTCAAGTGTAACTGGGGTGAGCGTCGCAGCAGCATTTTTCATTATCTGCAGGGAGAAAAAAACATGATAAGCAAGAAATACTGAATAGTACAGTTGCTTCTCTATCTGTTGGCAAAATATGAATAAAATATCTCTTCCGAATAAGATGTCCACTTCCAAGTTATTATGTTAGAAGGTTAAGTGAGATAACAGCAACTTACAGAACAAAACTGATATTTGTGCTTACAAATTATTAGAGTGGGAAGTAAAAAATTTTAATCTGCTTTATAAATGCTCATGTAAACATTAAGAGATCATAATATAAGAACACAAATTGAAAATTCTGTTCTGTAAATGGTTTCAAAAACTAAGAACATAAAAAATACAATTCTGCTTGGATACCAAGAGGATCATACCATCTTACCGACACCAGGTGATCCAACAAAAATGATTTTATCAACTGATGACACTAATGCTTCCCCGGTTTCGGCAAACCTAGCAAGAAGCGTCCATTTAATGCCAGATATACAATATTGACCTCAGTGAGTATAAGAAACTCGGAAAAATGCATACCCTGTTATTATATCGACCAGATTTTCAGGAGCACCAACAGCAGCTAGAGCTGCTTGAATAATACGAAAGTAGAAGCATCCAGACCAACTTGCATTTTCAGAAACCTACAGTTACAAGCATATGGTAACATGTAAAAATGGCTAACTTGGATAGGAGGTGCTGAATGATCTCCAGGATATGAAACATGATACATAAATGAGATGAATAGAAATAAATGCAGCTGGATTAGTTTCTACCCAATATACAAGGTACTAGATGTGATGATTAATGTTGTATTTGGTCCAAAATTGAATACCTTAATAACAATGCTATTCCCTGAAAACACTGCTGCCAGCATTGGATTAAAGATATTGTGGAAAGGATAATTCCATGAGACAATGGCGCCTATAACACCAAGTGGATGAAACTCCACTTTTGCTTTCTTGTGAATCATTGACCTCCCAGAAGACCTATAGTCATACCATAATGTAGAAGATAAAAAATTCAGTATTAATAGCAATCAAGAGAAGTAGAGCTTGCTAGTTTGAGATTACTAGGAAGTTATTTGTATTTTCATAAAAAGAAAATGGATATATGGTAACATTGTTGGCATTACTGATAACACACACATCTTGACCAATGCTAACACTAGAGATTAATAGAAAAAATTTAGATCACTATGTATCATAAAACTGGCTGAAACTAAGACAGAAAGTAGATTACCATTAGCATTTCATACAGACTTATGACAAAACAACTTTTGCTTATTCCCTCAGGATGGAGATAAGAAAAAAAAATAATAATAACTAAAGATAGAAGGAAGTACCGATATTCAGGCTTTAGCCACTTCTCACCCTCTGAAAGAAGCCAAGTTATCTTCTCACAAGTTGTCATTATTTCTCCCAAAGAGGCATCCACCATTGTCTTTCCAGTATCACGTGAAGAAACTCTAATCATAATGATAAATGAATTAGGGCATACAACACTCCTTAACTAGTTTTCCAGTAAGAATGAAAAAGAAACAAACTAATCCTTTAACCACATCCACAAAAGAACTGTGGCCTTACTCGCATATAAGCTCTTGGTGTTCAATAATATACTTCAAAAGTATCCGCAAAAACTGACGCCTTTGCTTGAAGCTACTTTTTGCCCATATTTTTTGAGCCTTCCTCGCCTGTGCCACACGCTCCTCAACCTGCAGGTATATATTAGATAGTTGGACAATAAACAAACACAAACATATTTATGGAAACTTATAAAGGCAGTATTTATATAGGTAAGCTATATAAATGGTCAAACAGATAGAAATCATTTGTCTCTGAGGCTAGCTATAAACAACTTCAAGGAAACAGGACTTCAATTGAAAGAGCAGTACCCATCACAAGAAAAAAAACGACTACATATTCTCTGAATCACTAAACTTATAACAACTTTTGTACGTCTATAAACAAGAGGTGACAAAAATTACAACATGACAGGCAACAAAATCCTAAGCATGGCACCACTAACCTCAGCAGGCATCAATGCAGGGAAATCTCCCAAGTATTTCATAGTTGCAGGCTCATAGCACCGTACTTTTTTGTCTGACTGTTGTTCCCGTCCCTCGAAGGTATCTTCACAGCAAATTGCGCACAGGAAATAAGGCAATTAAATCTCTGATCTCAATAATGGAAAGTTCAATATACATAAAATAAATCAGAAATGAACTCAAAAGGACACAAGCATATTTAATTTAAAACACCTGGGAGCATCTGTTGAACTAATTAAATAATCATCACACAAAGTAAACACGAATTCATTACTAACTAGAATCAACTCATATTCATTCACATATCAAAATTTACTATAAATCCACAAACACCACTGAATTGAGAAGTGTAACAAATAAAAAGTTAGGATAACCGAAATGAGCAATTAATCCTCTAATCTCCGTTATGGAAAGTTTTGATATACAGACAGATATAGAACTGATTAAAGCATACAAGTAAAGTAAATTTGAAAGACCAGTGAACATCTATTTAATTAATTAAATAATTATTAAAAAACACAAATCTACTAACTAAACTAAAATCAATTCATATTCATTCCACATTTCTGTCAAAATAAATGAAAAATCTGACAAATAAATAATAATAAATAAAAAAAGAAGTAAAGTTAACTAAAAGCTCACGTAAATGAAACCGTTCCCCTGCGTTTGGTTGACGTCCTCCAACACTGTAACAAAATGAAAAAGTAGTTTTAAAAAACATTTCACAGAAACCAAAAAAAGCCGAGTTCGAGATAGAAAGGAGAACCGTCAGATGCGTCGACGTCGATGGAAGGAACATTAGGAGGGATAAGCATGAACAAGAATCTACATATAGCGTAAGCGAAAGCGAGGACGATCAACGACCACCAAAACTCCATCGTTTATGATGCAAAGCTAGGGGTCGAGGCTTGAGTTTCGATAGATCGGATCAATTTCAGTAGAAATATGCTTTCAATTTTTAAAGGAAGCGCAAGTGAGTAAGTGTGTGAATGTTTGTTTGTGAGGAGTTGCTGATTTTTAAATAACATAAAGAACAAGGCAAAAGGACAATAATGAAAGTCTCGTAATTGAATGTTTTATTTTGGCTTTACTAATTGAATATATAAAAGGGCGGGTCAAAGTGGGTCAAAGTTTAGATTGCTTGACCATGCAAATACAAATATACAAATACAATGTCGTATTATTTGGATAAAGAATATTTAAAGTTGAAGACTGAGGCTGTTTGGGTGGCTAATTTAGGTTTTTTTTTTTTTTTTTTTTTTAATGATTGAGGTGTTTTCATCAATTTACATGCATCTCAACTAATCTTTTAGGATCCTAAAGTTAAAGTCGGATATACCTTTCAGCCGTCATCCTGAAGAAACTCGAACTTAAAATTTTTTGAGGAATACATTTAAATAAGGGTGTGCAAAACCGGGCAAAACCATGCACATGAGCCGGTTTTGCAATTTTTGAACCGACCCGCATTTTCTATTTAGTTCGGGTAGTTGAGTAATTTTGCACACCCCTACATTTAAGAGTTCATATCCAACCACTCGGAGACCTAAGAGGGATTAATTTAGGGTAATATTGCAAGCTTAGAATTCACTTTATCAAACTTTTGTAAAGCTAATACAAAGTATCACTGTTCACTACAGTGACCCACTACTGTTAATAATTCTTAAACTCACTTGGAAGTATACAATTCAGCTCTGCTTTTGTAAGCAGATAAAGATATATATGCTTTGTGTCCAGCAATATGCTTTTCAGATTAATTTATAGGAGGGCAATGGGAAGCTTTATAGGTTTTCTTTTTATTCCTTTACAAAAGTTCATTGGTCTCTTACCAATCTCTTCAAGTCATCTTGGATTCCATTTAGTTTTGTGAAGATATATCATCAACACAAGGTTTCTAATTAATCAACTGTTTTGCGTTTGTTGGGACATTAGTGCAAATAGCTGATGTGGGTTGGATTTATTTGAGCTTAAAGGCTATATAATGCAAGGTACATTGATTATTTTCTTTCTTTTCTGCCAGATTTGTTTGCATTAATTCATGTTCAGCAAGAAAATATATGAACCTTTGCATGCAGCATTTACTTCAAGGGATAAAGAAACAAATCTCTGAAAGGATACCTAATTAAATTCATTCTTTTTCTAATATATATATTAATTCTTTAAACATTTATTGGTAGTCTCTTTTTCAAGTTATCGTATTAGCAGATTATATATCTCTTATTTTGATGAGCTTTACTTCTTTTGTTCTATAATATAATTTTAACAATTTGTATGAATTCCAAATAAAGAAGGCAGATGTAGTTTTCAAATAACCTTCATTTGCTCTGCAGAAATCAAAGGGATGGAACGCAGTAGTGGCACAAGCCATGTTGCCATTGAAATCTCAGCAGAAAATGAGGCTCTTGTAACTTCTCTGAAACAAAACATGGAAAAAGTCTCTTGTGCGGGTTGCATATGCCGTGTGAGCCCGGAAATTAGAGGGCAAAACAAAAAGGCATATGTCCCAGATAAAATTTCCATCGGTCCTCTCCACAAGGTTTTAAGTGCTAATATGGAAAATCACAAATGGCGCTACTTGTATTCACTTCTTAATCGAAGACCAAACGTGGAAGCAAGGTTAGATCGTTGTGTGCAAGCTCTGAAAGAGTTAGAGGTCAAAGCAAGATCCTGCTACACAGACAATTTAGAGCATATTAGAAGTGATGATTTTGTGAAGTTGATGTTAATCGATGGAGGCTTTATAATTGAGCTCTTTTTAAGGCATTCTGTAAAGGGTTTAAAGCGAAGGAGTGATCCCATTTTCTCCACCCCTGGATTGCTCTTTGAACTGAGGTCTGACATGATTCTACTAGAAAATCAGATACCCTTTATCATTCTTCAAAGATTATTCGAAATCGTGCCAATCCCTAAACAATGTACTCAATCCCTCACTGATCTCGCCTCTCGTTTCTTTAGAAATATGATTCCGGGAGATTATAAACTTAACCGTGAGAAGTTTAGCCAAGAGGGAAACCATTTACTTGACATGATCCGCAATTGTTTCCTCCCAACGATTCCAAGAATCAATGTAAAGAAAAATACTGCACGACAAAGTTTTCCAAGCGCAACGCAGCTGCAAGAAGATAGCGGAGTTAAGTAGAAGAGGGCGAGAACAGAAAATTTATTGGACATAAATTTTGTGAATGGAGTCCTTCAAATCCCTCCTTTGCATGTACACGTATACACAGAAACTCTCTTAAGAAATTTCATTGCATTTGAAACATCTTGTCCTTGTGAAAACACACATCATATTACTTCCTATGTCCTTCTCATGGTAAGCCTAATTCGCTCAGAAAAGGATGTGAAATTACTCAAACGCGAGGGTATTTTAAACAGCATTGAAGACGAATATGAAGATGAAAATGAAGATGATCGTTTGCAAAAGAGAGAGACGCTTTCCAAATTGTTTGACAGCCTTCGGAAGATTCCATTGAATGAGAAAGACTTCTATTATGATGGGCTCTGTGAACAAGTGCTTGGATATAAAGCACCCAGATGGTTTGTATGGTTGATGAAGAGAAAAGGGAGGAGTAATGATCCTGATCGGAAGAGGGATGTTCCCTTTCCCTTTGCTTTGATCTCTGTTGTTGCATTTTTGTTGGTTGTTCTCACCTTTTTGGGAACTCTTTTCTCTGTATTGTCATTCTTCTCGCGCCATTAGTTTTTGTGTAGTTTTATCGTGAAAATAAATAATAAAATGTTTTGCTTTTAGTCTTTCTTTAAGAAAATATGATGCATTTCTTGTTCTTTAGTTGACACTTGATACCCAATTGAATTGCTACAGTCAAAAGTCTGCCAAAGTTACACAAAGGCCCCACCCGACACATTGCCTTTGGCGAACCGAACCCGACATTATTTGGCCTCGTCGTATATGGATTATTACATAAAAGACCGAAAGATTCCTGTGTACCTAACTGTAAACTCCCCTAATTTTACACCGACAGATTTTCATCAAACACGATAATTCCAACTAAAGTCCCCATCCAACAGCTCCAAAACGTAAACACAGTACACTCGATTCCAAGGAGTCAAAACTAAGCCGCCCCACTTACATATCTCTAAAGATTTTTGTGTTCTCGGCACCCTGGTACTTCTCTCTCTCCCTGAAAGAAAAGCTCTAAGAGTTAAGACTTCGTTCCAGAGCTCAGATCAAAGACCCACAAAGAAAGAAGGAGAGATGGAAGGAGAAAGAAGAGTTGGTGTAGCGGTGGACTTCTCTCCGTGCAGCAAGAAAGCGTTAAAGTGGGCTGCGGATAACATCGTCCGTGATGGGGATCACCTTATTCTCGTTAGCGTTCAGCCCGAAGGTGGTTATGAGCAAGGCGAGACGCAGCTCTGGGGAGCCACCGGTTCACGTAATCATCTCTCTCTTCCCTTGAAAGTCATCAAAAATTTATTTTATTTTGCTTTAACTAAGATAGGCACATGAAAATTATCATTGTAAAATATGGGTATTGCAGCTTTAATTCCTCTGGCCGAGATTTCTGATCCTGCGGTTATGAAGAAATATGGAATGAAACCTGAGCCTGAAACACTGGATATTCTCAACACACTAGCTAGGACAAAAGAGGTGATTTTTTTATAAAGTTGATTTTATGATCGATGAAATAGCAAGATTTCATGACTAGTAATATTATTATTTTTTAATATTATTAAATTTTAACTAAGATTGTGAATGTGGGAAGGTGGTGGTGCTTTTGAAGATTTATTGGGGTGATCCTCGTGAGAAGATCTGTGAAGCTATTGATAAAATTCCTTTGAGCTGCCTTATTATTGGAAACAGAGGGCTTGGCAAGATCAAGAGGTTGATTTTTATCACTTTCTTGCACATAAATTTAAATTAATTTTCTTTCTTTTTAGTTTGCTCTTTCATTCTGTTTCTTCATCATATGAAGTCAATGGTTCATCCAATTGGGATTTCCTGTGCTTTCAATTGGTTAAAGTTTTGCAATATGTGGACTTTTTGAGGCCATGATGTGATTCCAGCTTATATTTTTTCTCTTACCAATAATTCTTGTTTTTTGAAAAGTAAACGTTCAGTGGAAAATTCCCACAAAACAATGGGCGGCCCAAAGTTTAGTCTGCCCTTTTAGGTCAAGTAGGAATGTATAATGAATTACCAATTAATTAACCGTCACCTTATCGCTGTCACCAAATTGACTTGCAACCAACTTTCTTTAAGGAGAAATCCTGTCTATGGTATTTCTTATTAATTTTCTTCGGTTTTGTATTTTTCAGGGCTATCATGGGCAGTGTAAGCAACTTTGTGGTGAACAATGGTTCCTGCCCTGTTACTGTAGTGAAGTTGGATCATGAAATATAGTTTCTTCTTCACCTCTACTCAAAGAATAAGTGCATTTGAGTTGGATTTCTTATGGGGGCCAGAAGTCTAATTTTGCATGTAGATGTAGAATTTGGTTGTGACTTTGGGTTGATTGGGCGAGCTTGTGGCTAATGTATTGTGTTTATATTTTATGTATGCTAGCACTTTATTCTGAGCTAAACTCATTTCCCCAGATGGAGTTTTTCTTCCTGAAACCTGAAGTTTAAGGGCCTATGTAATAATGCTTAGTTTATCAATGCCTAAGAAAAATTGGGAGTTATAGCTATGATTTCAACTATTCTCCTTTTGCTGTTGGATATTTTGATGCCTCTCCATACATATAAAGGATTAGTCAATCAAATAATGGATAGCAAATGGGTCGGTCAGAAAATTCATTAAAAATAAAATGAATTGTTTGTGTAGAATATTAATCTTGTTAACCTAGGTTTTCTCACTTCTTTTGAGTTTTTTGCTTCAAATATTGGGTCATTTATTATAATAACATTAGGGTGTTCAACGAATTTCTAGATTAATTAAGGTGAGTATAAGCTGATTTAGATAACCTAATTACTAAAAAAAAAAAAAAAAATTTATATATATATATATAGAGTATTTTCGTTCGGTTAGACTTAAATAACATAACTAAAACAATGGCTGTTTTATGAACCAGCTGCCAATCCAACTGCACCTANTTCTTTCCTTGCCCTTCCTTCCCTTAGATTTTTGAGAATGTCCTTTCTATTGTTGATTAGTTTCTTAAAAGAATTGTTCTGTACACATTCCTTCTTTTGCAAAGGGTGTACGGCCAGCTTGGCAGTAACCATATCAGGAGTTGGTGTAACTGAGGAGACACCGGGATAGGAGTATACAGTTTAAGTATTAGTTGTCATAATTTCTTCAAATAAGAAAATCTAATGGAGCATAACAAATAGGTCTCTGCAATTTTCCACATCACTAAAAAATGTGTTTCAACCATCCTATAATTCAATGGTAGCTGTAGAAGGTATCAAATTCACGCAAAGGCAATGTTAAATGTAATAAGAATGCCAGTGAGACTATTTCAAGTACTGGATTTTTATCTGCATTTCAAGACCCTTGATGCTCGAGTTTTTATCAGTTTGTAATACTTCTTCAGTTTCAATTATCGCTCTAGCTATTAGTAACTTCATTGCCATGACAGTTTGGGACTTTAAGAGAACAAAAGTCTCAAGAGCCAACTTAAAAAATATCTGAATGGCACAGTGAACAAATATTGAACTTCCAGCAGTGAAAAAACTTGAATTATTTTTTCTTAACAATTATTCATAAAAGAAAATGGCTCCTCACCTTAAGAGTGGTTAGAAATTCAAAGCTTTCGTAACAACGAACATATAAGAACCGTCTCATGCACACTGCAAATAGTTCCTCATCATAAAACATATTAGGTTGCCTTTTTGCATCGCAGTTCGATAAGTCACCAAGTTGTTGCTCCCGATGCTCTTTACTGCTCAATCCTAGACAACATTTTTTTTTTTTTATAAAACAAAAATTCTATTAAATCAAAATAAATATATATCACAGAAAGGTGTACCTATAGTCCACTTAAAAAGAAACCTATTACAATTGCTCAAGGAAACCTGAATACAAAAACATTAAATAATTCCTAAAGAATTTTTTTTCTTTTCCAATAAGAAACACAATTTATATTAGATTAGAAAAGAAGATAAAAAAAGAGAACCAGAGATCCACAACGACATCCAAAACAATCCCACTCTAGAACACTAAAACTACACAAAATTTATTCCCCAAACCAGTGTACAGCCCTGAAATAAAAGGAAAAAGATTACAAGTCCAAGAACAAATTATCCCAAACTCCATCCCATTTCAAATTAATGAAGAAAAAGGAACAGTCTTAACCTACTTGGTCATAGAAACCCAAAAAGAGGCAAAGAAATGATTCGCTCCTATAGATTATCACATCTTCCATTAAGTGTTGGCTTTCTTCCCTTTCCCAAAGCAAAAATACACTGCACAAGCAATGCTTCACAAGAACCTGAACAGACCTAAGCTATTTTGGCTACCTAGCACATCTAGCAAACAAGTTGGACACACAATGCAGCAAAAGAAGATACGACTTGAAGACTTCATTTCAACTTCACATAAAATACCATGATGCAAGACACATCTTTGGGTTCTTTCATTGATTAACTTCATTTTTAAATCTGCTTCTCAAAAAAAGAAAAGTCTTTAATTTGTTGCTGAATTTAACCCAAAATATTTTGAAGAATGAATTGTTTTTCTCAGTTCATAATTTTCAAATATAGCATCAAAAGAACGTTAGAAGCATTTGAATTGCTGAAACAGTAAATATTTTTTTACAATAATACCAAATGGACCCTTGGATTTTACAATAAAAATAAGGAAATTTTATGCACAAACATCACAGTCATTTATAGCCATGCAAAAAAAGATTTTGTTATATGATTCATTCCCTCATAACCACAAGTTTTTAACAAAATTAATGGCCTCTTCACATTTTCAACCTGGAAGCCCTTGTATATTTGGCCAAAACCTTGGCAACAAAGCTAACAATCTTGTTAGCAAATGATATATCAAATGATTAGAAGCTATTTGATGTAGAGAATCAAGAGAAACATTCAGATCTGTAGATCCATATAAGTCCTTATTGGTATAAATCAACACTAATTGGCAAACTAAAAGAGTACAAACAGAATTTGTTTCATAAATAGGGTTGCGCTTAATTAGAATGAATGATAATAAGATTTGGGTCAATCAGAAGCAAGGATCTGATAATGCTCCATTTTTTCCACATGGCTCTAGCAACCTCTCACTTCTTCCACTTCCACTCAAAACAAATCTTTGCTCATAGCAAAACAATGCAAGAAATTCTTTGCAGCTACAATCACTGAAAAGAGTAACCATGAGCACAATATCACACTATTGAAAGTTAAGCACCACACAAAAGCCCACAGCTCTTAAAACACAAGTCTACTGGTGTAGTATATGGATTTTTGGCTATAACCACAATCCTTAATCTTGTTTGAGAATGTTGGTGCATGAAATATTACCATCAAAAGAAATTGTGTGCAGTGTGAAGAGGAAAATGGAGAAGGTTTTGTTTGGTTGTAGTCACAGATAGTAGAGGGTGGAGAGACAAGATAAAGACATAGAAAAGAGAAGCTTTCTTACAAATTTCAAAAATAATATCAATATTGACATAACTTTTGGACAGTAAAATTATTCACATATCTTTAGGTATGTTTAGTCTACTTGAGTTCTCTAGCAGTAGGGGTTTTTCAAGAAAATCCAGAATTAGGTTGGCTCCAATATAATTAACCAAACTTTAGCGAATCCATGATATTTTCCCTTTTGAATATTCAGAACCTATGATATTTGTAATTGGAAAAATTCTTCAGGTACACTGTACTAGAGCACATCCAAATGGAACTCATTCCTATAAACAATGGGGATGAAATTTGCACCAGAGTAGATGCCTAAACTACTTAGGAGGCTGAAATGGAACTAGAATCTAACACATGGTTTGGCAAATTTCTTATGATGCTATGAATACCGGTTTGTTATATTAGTTAGGTTTAAGTCTGACAAGAATAATATTCTACGACAAGCTATTCATTTCCCCATTGGTAACAAATAGTTATCCCTTAAGCGGGGAATCCTATTTAAAAAACCGAGAGATTATGTTTCTACTCTTGCAAGAACCAAGATTTTGATTCATTTGGATGCAATGAAAAAAAATTCATTACTCCAAAAAAAAAGCCATCCCGTGAGTATACATGACCCCACAACCTGTATAAAGCTTATTCATTCCAAAACACATTCAAAACAACAATATTTTAAACAAACATTATTTATAAAGTAAATAAGCATTTCCATGTCAAAAAAAAAAAAAAAAATTATGCGTATAGGTTTACCATTAGCTTCCATGATCCGATGCTTTAGCAATTGTGCGAGGCATGAAACGTCGAAACGACAATCCAAGTCGAGGAACGTCACCAAACGCCCCAATCCACCATAGTGCACCCCATTCCACTCTTTAGGAAGAATGCAACTGATTGCAGCCTATGAGCACAGATTTTAATAATTCAAATTCTTAAATTTTAATTTAATTTAAAATCCGTAGTAGAGTACCTGAATAAGGATTTGGGTTTTGGCAGATGTAGAGGGGCCAACGAGCTCAAGAACATTGCCGACTCGGAGAGGAAGCCGGTGAAGCGGAGGAAGAAAAAAGAAGGGTGAGCCTTCAGTTAGAAGGCGAGATAACATTTCATCCGCACTCTCGTCCCCCTCAATCCACCCCTTCAACGCCATTGCAGGTGTTACTGAGAAAAAAACCACCCCACTTTTGTTGATTAAAAATAGAGTGAAAAGAATTTCGGTCATGAGTTTTGGAGTGACTTGATTGTTGTGGAATACATTATTTTGGCGGACACTTGTTTTAGAGTTAAAGACTTTTTCCCACCAAAAAATGGCGCACTGATGTTTCCCACCCTCATACTTTTAAAACACTAGTTTAATACCCGAAGCAGAAATCCATTAGTAATTTACGATGTGAAGAAGGGTAAGATGGTAAAAAGATAGTTATAAGTGAGAGTAGAATCGTCATTCCATCTGAAATCAGATTTTAAAAATAAAATGTGAGGAATTGTAGGGCTGGGAATATGACATGTGGCCGAGGCAGTTGACTTTGGCAAGGAAAACGGATAGCCAAAGGCAAAATGATAGAGCCATCGAAGATTGCGTACCGAATCTGTGCACCGAATGACGTGATAAAATCTTGACCGTTAATTAATATTAACTGATAATAAATCAATGGTTAGGATTTTGTTACGTTATTCAGTGCACAGATTCGGTGCACAACCTTCGGTGGCTGTAGCATTACTCTATGCAAAAGACATATCACTTGTTGCGTGTTCTGAAAGAGGCGACGTTTGTGTTTTCTGCTGACGAACTTCGCCCTGTTTCTGGCGATTCTGGCAGTTGTTTTCGGCGACGTTTGAGTGTTAATGGCGCCTTACACTGACGGGTTAGACTGGTGGTTGGCGAGTTTGGAGTTTTGGCTCGGTTAAAGGTGTTGTCAACAACGTTTTGGGTTGTTGTGGCGGAGTTTCTTCAGCAAACGACGAGGGTTTGAAGCGACTTCATAGTGGTTTTGTTTTGTTACTTTGGTTTCTACGTTGTTGATTTGGTTAAAGGTTTTGTGAAATTTGAAGTGTTCTTCTTTTACCCTTTTGTTTCGTTGCTAAGAAAACGGAAGAAAATAGCATGCAAGAAAAGAGATTTCTGAATTTTAAATACTCCAGAAATTCACCTTTAAAAAAAAAAAAAAAAAAATCCAATTTTGGATAATCTGTGTTCAAGATGTTAGATTTCAATTTTTTATTATTATTATTATTTTTTTGGTTATATTTATTATGTATTATGTTTCTTGTTTTCTCTGTTTGGTTGCAGAGAAACTGAAAAAAAAAAAAAGAAAATGAAAGAACTTTTGAATGTTTGTTGAGTGCTTTTCACAATAGCGGTTCATGACTAGCTTCTTCTTAACAAAACTAACAACAATGGAGATTTACATATTATGCTTTGAATGTGTGTTGAATGGTTTTAATTGTTATGTGTTTTTGGATTCAGGAATTCTGAGACTGCAATACTCCGGTTGGGTTCAAATGAGAATAAAAAATCATCGTCGCCAGAGAAGGAAGATTGATACTATACCACGAGAGGATTAGTGGGTGGTGATGAGAATGGCAAGGTTCCTATAGGTACCAACAATGGAGAGGATAATAAATTGGTTGTTTGGCCGAAGCTGTATATTACTTTGTCGAACACAGAGAAAGAGAAGGATTTTTTAACCATGAAAGGGTGTAAGCGTCCTCAAAGGCCTAAAAAGAGAGCTAAGATTATTCAAAGAAGTTTACTTGTAAGTTTCGCAAGCACTTTGTGCATTTGGTTTTGGTGGTGTTAAGCAGTAAGTTGTATATTAAGCAGTTAAGCAGTAAGTTGTATGTTAAGCTGCAAGTTGTATAGCTGTGTTAATTATTAACCATAGTTAGTTGAGTGCAACTAGTTGGGTTAGTTAGCAGCAGTTATTGTATAAAAGATTTGTAAAAGGCATTATACAGAATAATAGAACAATATATTTTTCCCCAAAATGCTTCTTCTTCGATTGCTCTCATCATATTCAACATGGTATCAGAGTAACAAATTTTCTGCAAAATCAGGGTCAATCAAACTCGAATTTCACTTTGATTAAGCTCAAATTTCACTTTGATTAAGTTCAAAGGAGCTTGCAATTCTTACCGTTCCTCAGATTCAGCTCATCTTCTTCTAGCTTCAGCTCATCTTCTTCTGTTCCAGTTCTTGTCATTCTTCAGCTTCAGCTCGTCTTCTTCCAGCTTAAGCTCGTCTTCTTTAAGTTTCAATTTGTCTCTCTGAAGCTTCAATCTTGCTGATCTGATTATGGCATCTTCGACTGAAGAATGTGTAATTCTTTCAATTGACTCCAATTCTCCCCTTTATGTTCACTCCTCAGATACACCTGGTTCTGTCTTAGTCTCTGAGCAGCTACAAGGTATTGAGCATTACGGGATATGGAATAGGGCAATGACTATCTCCTTGTGTGCGAAAAATAAGCTAGGTTTTGTCAATGGAACCTACACAAGGACCTCTATTCACTCTCAATTAGTGTCATAATGGGAACGATGTAATTCATTGGTGCTTGTGTGGATATTCAACTCTGTATCAAATGAAATTTTCAACGGGATTGTTTACTCAATCGATGCTTCTCAAGTTTGGCAAGACTTGAAAGAGCAATATCATAAGGTTAATGGAACTCGAATCTTTGGTCTTCACCGAGAAATTGCCAATCTCACGCAAGGAACAAACACTGTGGCAGTATACTACAACAAACTTAAGTCCCTTTGGGACGAATTGGATTCACTAGTAAGCCTACCTACACCAGACAGTGTTTCTACAAAAGCATTTCTTGAGCACATTAATCAGTAGAAGTTGTTACAATTTTTAATAGGCTTAAATGACTCATATTCTATGGTGAGGAGTCAAATTCTACTTATGAATCCATTGCCAAGTGTTAAACAAGCATACTCAGTTGTGAATCAGGATGAAAGTCAAAAAATTCTCAATGGTATGAATGTTAATTCGGAAGTCTCCACTGCCCTCTATGCTCAGAATAATAACAAAGGACAGAATTCAGGTAAGAGGTATAAGGGTAAAAAGCCCTATATTGAATGCAAATATTGCCACTTGCCTGGTCACAAACGAGAGAATTGCTACAAGTTGAATGGGTATCCTGCAGATTACCAATTCACAAAGAGCAGAACAAATTCTAAAACAAAAGTTGCTGCGAATCAAGTGACTATGCAAAGTCCAATTTCGGAATCATCAGATGTTGGAAATGGTTTAGGATTTTTGTCTCATTCAGGATCGTTACAGTGGCAAGTTGAGGGGGATTGGTAAGCATAACCAAGGTCTACACCTTCTTGATCCAACTTCCAAAATTTCTTCAAGTTTGAATTCAGTTTTTACAGATGTAAGTGGGGTGTTAAGTAGTAAGTTGTATATTAAGCAGTTAAGCAGTAAGTTGTATGTTAAGCTATAAGTTGTATAGCTGTGTTAATTATAAACCATAGTTAGTTGAGTGTAGTTAGTTGGGTTAGTTAGCAGCAGTTATTGTATAAAAGATTTGTAAAAGGCATTATACAGAATAACAGAACAATATATTTTTCCCCAAAATGCTTCTTCTTCGATTGCTCTCAACATATTCAACAGGTGGGTGGCAGTTGGTGAGTCCTGGTGCTTGGTTGACTGATATGTGCCAAGAGAGGTATGAAGTTAGGGAAAAGAAGAGCTCTAAGAAGGTAATTCAATCTTCTTGCACTGATTTGTTATCGTCTTGTCGCCAAACGCTCAATTGGTATCTAAATATATCAATGCTATTTGTTCAATTGGTATCTCTAAACATCAATGCTATTCGCTCAATTGGTATCTATAAACATCGATGCTAATTGTTTCTATTGGTGTCTCCAAACGTCGATGCTAATCGTTTCAATTGGCATCTGAAATCATTGTATGTTTATTTTTAGATACTGATCTAACGGATGACACCGACAAGTAGTTTTGTTTTGTTTTGGTACAATTTTGTTTCGGTACAATTTTGTTTCTGTTTCTGGTTGCAAAGATGATTGATGAGTAAGACTTGTGTGTGTTGTAGAGACCAAGAGGATTGAAAGTCATGGGGAGTGTGGAGAATGATTCAGAATGAGGAAGGTTTGTACAAGTTGTAGAAGCAGTGGCGCCACTTTGCTTTCGAAAATTTTGGAAATTTGTATTGTGATATGAGTGCATGGGTTTATATTTATATTTGTATTAGAGAAATGGAAGAGATTAGAGCTAGGCATTTGGGACCGGGTCCAAAAACCTAGCCCAAAAACCCAATCCTAGGACTGGTCCCAAAACCGGACCAGGCCTAAGGAAGAGGGTCTGGTCCCTCCACTGGGCCCTCCTTCAAGGCCCGGGCCTGGGACCAGTCCCAAGCCTGGGCCCAGACCCTTTTAATTTTTTTCTTTTTAGTCTCTTGTATAATTACATAAAACCCCTTATAAATTTTGAAATAAACATAAATTATAGGGGTTAAAAAGAAGTTTTACAAAATAAAAAAAAATTTACTTAAACCCCCAACCCCCCCCACCCACCCCCCCCCCCCCCCTTTTACACTATAATAACCCCCAAATCTCTCATTTTTTCCATACCACTCAATTTCTCATTTTTTCCACACCACTCAATCTCTCATTCTCTCAATCTCTTTACCCTCTACTCCAAATCTCCAATCAAATTCTCATTCAATTTATATTTATATTTATAATTTATTCATATTATTTATTTATTTATATTTTTCTATTTTTCAATATCATCTCTTATTTTTTTCATTTTAATTATTTATTATTTTATCATAATTTCATAATGGATTCTTGAAAATGATGCATTTGAAGGATCATCCCCAAATAAGTTTTACTTTCCATCCACCGTAGAAATGGAAGGGTTCAATCTATTTTCACCTTTTCCTCTAGAGGCAGCAACTGCAATTCCACAACCATATTCGGCCGGGACGAGGTGTAGTCAAACACAGCTACGAGTCAACGGGCACGGGCATTGTAACGCCCACATTGAGGTATGTAATTCATTTATGCCCTTAATTTTGGTTGTTTTAAGGTAGAAGATTGGAAATTTGGAAGTGCAGACTTCGCCATGGCAATGAACTCTCTGCCCAAAATTGAGTTCTTAAAATGCAGGCTTCG